TAAGCTCACAGATGTTGCAAAAGCAGGGCAAAAAGTCAAGGAGGAAGACACAACTTACGGGGGAAGATATGAGAGACATGACATGGACATGATAAAAAAAACAAAACAAAGAAAAAAATCTTTCCCAAAGTCAAAGCCTTACAAAGGCAGGGCATACCATCAAGTGCAGGGACATGCACAAAACATTCCCCTATTGGTGCCCATTGAAATCGCAAGATTCATTTTCCCTCCCCGAAAAGAAAATTTCATTTCCTTTCAGGACGGGAAAAGGAATCGTGCGAATCCCAAAAGAAGGACTTACAAAGACTCTGGAAAGGAGATCGGTTCAAATGAAATGCAACTGAAGAAACCAGAAAATTGGGAATTTTACTGTCTTCAAAAATAGGATGTGAGGAAATCAGGTGCATTGTAGAGCACCAAAACACGCCCAAACAAAGCTCAGAGAAGTTGCAAAAGCAGGGGGAAAAAGTCGAGGAGGAAGACACAACTTGGAGGGAAAATATCAGGGACATGGCATGGATAAAAAAAAAAAAAATTGCCAGAGTCAAGCACATACAATTGCAGGCCATATGCCATCAAGTGCAGGGACATGCACCAAAGCTTGCCCAAATCGATCCCCGCTGAAGGCCAAAACACAAAAGAAGGACTTACAAACGCTCTGGAATGGAGATCCTACTCAAGGAACTGCAATTGGAGGAGAAAAAAAAAAAAAATTTTGGAAATTTTGGGACTACAAGGAAATGGACCGGGATTCCATCCAGCGCAGTGCAAAGGACCAAAACAGGCCAAAACTCAGTTGGCAGATGCTGCAAAAGCAGGGGAAAAAGTCAAGGAGGAAGACTCAGCTTGGAGGGGAACATATGAGGGACATGCTATGGAGAGTCAAAAAAAGAAAAAAAAATTTCCGCAAAGTCAAAGCCATGCAAAGGCATGGCATGCCATCAAGTGCAGGGACATGCACCAAAGATTCCTCTAGTGCTCCCCATTGAAATTTCAATGTTTCCTTTCCCTTCCTGAAAGGTAGGCTGAACAAGGCTTTTTATGTTTTAAATTTTCTAAACCGTTTGGTTGCATAACCTGATCCACCAATCTTTCGGCAGTTTTCAAATAACACACAGGGAGAACTGAATGAAGATCCTTCTGTTTTAATTAGACCTTTGAATCTGGACAAATTGAAGGTCATTTTTGATTTATAACCTGCGGCAAAGTGTATGCTTCTGTCTCTACAGGTGCTGGAATTAAATGGGTCCCTGCCAAAAACATCAAACCATATCACATCCCAGTACATGTTGACGAGTCCAGAGCCAAGGAAGCAAGTACACAGATGTGAGCCGAGCAGAGGGATCCCAGCTTGCCTGACGTTCCTTGTGCCTGACGTTCTTTTTGTATCGGTGGAACCTGCAAACTCTGATTTTGTGTTAATGTTATTTATGAGTGTGTCCATGTATGTTAAATGTTTGTTTAACAGAGCTGAGTTTTGGCAAAAGTTTAGGTTTTTGTTTTTGTGGAGAACAAAATTTAAAAATTGATATATATGTAAGGATTCTGCCAAAACTTAGCTAATGAAAATGATGGAGCGATTGCAAGTTGTATGTTGGTATTGGTGGATTTTAATTGTTTTTTGTCGTGCAGATTTGCCTGTGGAACTACCAAAAACAAATGTTTGGGTGACCTTAGCCAAGGCAGCTGGCTCGGATACTATATGTTTGTCTAATTCAGAACCAGAAAAACCTTTTTCAACCTGTCTGGTTGGTGTGCCAGTAAAAGAGTCGCCTTTGGTCAAAAAACAATCCAATGATAAGCCAGGTGAAATTGACAATGGAAACAATCCCTCATTGAATTGGAACGTTTGGTCCAAAAATCTTCCCAGGGCAGCATCTGAACCCCAAGAATTAGAAATCCTTGGCTCTTTAACAATGGATTTTTGCTTTACCTTCATAGCTAGTGCTTGGCAAAAAGGTGATCCTCCAAAGTACAATGTTACTACTCATTATTTTGCATACAGAAATTTGAGGTTTTGGTGTAATGTTTCAAACAGTTGGGATGTGCTTCCTGAGACGGATCAATATCCACGCCAATTGCCGAAGGGGTATTGGTTCATTTGTGGAGACAGAGCCTGGTAAGGCATTCCAGCACACCTTGAAGGTGGCCCTTGTAGCATTGGGATGCTCACTATAATTGCCCCCACTGCCAAGGCGGTCATGAAAAATAAACAAAGGAGAACGAGAGCTGTTTCTCATTATGAGGAGAACTGTCAGAGTGATTTCAGGCCTTGGAAAGCTGCCAGAAGGGTTTCAGCAGGTATATTTTTACCCCAATTGGCTTCAGCAGTGGCACTGAAACAGATAGAGCTGGATGCTAGCTGAGCAAACAAGCTAATGCCACATCCTCTGCAATCAGTGATATGTTAACCAACATTTACAGTGTTAGACATGCTACCCTTCAAAATAGAGCAGCAATTGATTTTCTTTTACTGGCACAAGGGCATGGTTGTGAGGAATTCAAAGGACTGTGCTGTATGAATTTGTCCAATCATTCTGAATCCATTCACAAAAGCATACAAAAACTGAAGATTTGACAGCTCAAATTAAAGAAGATGGTGGTTCCTGGCTGGATGATTTGTTTCAAGAATGGAGCTTTGCACCTTGGCTAAGGCAACTTTGCAAGATAGGTCTTTATGTATTGGGTGTTCTGGTAGTGATATTGATAGTAATGCCCTGCATACTTCAGTGTGTGCAGCAAATGATGAATAAAATGGTCCAAGAAGTTTTTGTCATACAAGAGAGAGAATTAGGAAGTAGAAGCACAGAGAGTGTTTGAAATCTCACGGAAATGCTAGGCGACAGTGCAGAAATGGAGGAGGGTTTTGAATTAAGACCCTGGAATTGACAAGAGTTTTTTGAACAATGACTTGTAACTATTGTCAGACGTGATTCATATCTCTTTCACTGACTGGGCCTTCACAGAATCAAGTTGCTGTGCTGTAA